ACCGTGAAACTGCAAGTGCTTTCGCTTCCTGCCTCGGCTGGGGCGTTTCAGCGAGCAGCTCTCGATACCCTTCGGTGGGCAGCCCTTAAAGCGCGTCCGTAGCAGAGCTTTGCGGGTACAGGGCTCTGGTTGCAGCTGAGGTTTATGTAGCCGTGCACGCTTGTTTATGCAGTTCCCTTAATATGCTTAGATACGTTTTTACACCTTTTGTTAAAAGATCGTGTTGCACTCGGAGCAGAAGAGGTTCAGTTACAAGCTATACTTTCCACTTCAATGTGTGTGTGTTTAATATAGTGTTAATCTAAATACCAGAGCAATTTTTCTTCTGTATAACGTATGAACTGAACCGATTTCTGGTGGTTGCTGCTTTGCCCTAGATCTCCGAAATACTATCAAGGCTTGGTTTCCAGGGGATGCGTTATTGAAGATCCTGCTTTGCGGTGCTGCACTCGAGGGCATGTATGGCTGAAGTTGTGAGCCCCCTTCCCCAGCTGCAGGGCACCGCTGCTCCCCTTCGCACCATGTGACCTGGAACGCCCGCACAGCCAAGAGCTGCTTCTCCCAAAGGTAAATACAACAGTTGGCTTCTTTCCCAGCGCCTACTTAGGAGGAAATGTATGGATTTGCTTTATCTAGATTTCCCTTTTGCATTCCTTGTCATGGTAATTAACACGAGTCGGTTGCCACCTTTTCTTTTAGATAGTTCAAGCCTTCGTGCTTTTGTGGTATTCTGTTGAGTTTTTCAGACCATCAGGATCTGAGATAACTGTTACTGCTTAGTGAAGAGCTTTTGTTTTTAAAGGGAGCAGTCTGTGGTGAGAATTTTGTGATGCTTTCTAACTGTGATCATAATAATGAACACAGGAGAGTTCTGCATAAATAGCCTTTGCTTTTGGCAAGAGGGATTTGTTGACCTATAAATTTTAGCAGGAGATTAAGCAAAAAAGCTAATTGAATTTTGTACTCATTAGGCCCAGATTCCACAGGTACTAGTAAAACAGTGTAACAAATTTTAATGTTGTAGTTCTGGAAAGAGTACATTAAGTTTGGATGAGGCTGTTGGGTTTTTTTTGTGTGTAAAGTGAATTTTCACATCATGTTTCGTAGTTTGCAAATTATATAATTTGGCTTCTCTTTGGTGCTTTAGTTGTAACATTTGCCATTCAGGCTGTGTTTTTTGGTAATGTTTATTTAATACTTTAATCTGTATTTCTTTGTTTAATTGCATGCACCTGTACGATATAAGAACACATGTAGGTATGCAGCTAATGGGTTACATAAATCCTGAAGCTCATCACACTTGAAAATTAAGTGCTGTTGTGGCTGAAAGGAAATATTTTGGCACTTCCAGTCTTTGGACTAGTGCTAATTCTTTCTCCTTTCCATCCAAAGAATGAGCACATGCCGATGGTGTACACTTAGTGGTTCTGACACCACTGAGTTCCTGAAGAGCTATGCTTCTGAACAGCTGTCCCTGGAAGAATTTGAAGGATCCAATGATGATCTCTGTTACTGCCTGGAGTGTGTGGTTGAGTACCACAAAGCAAGGGAAAAATTGCCAAGGTTGCATAAGGTAATTAAGGGATTTGGCTCCTGCCAATTACTGAGCAGCAGGACTCCAGAAGAGGCTTCTGTGGTCCAGCCTCAGTGAAAGGGGGAGTTTTGTGCAGAGGTTGAGGTTTATTAGTTTTTGGGAATAGGATATGTTGCTTTTTAACTCTGACTTTTATATTGACTTGCAAAGAGCTGACTGTAAAACAAGACTACCTTCTTGTTTTGCACGTCTTCGAGTTAGCCAGAGCTAAAACAGTTGTGGGAACTTGCTGACCAATCATTATAGCTTGAAATTTGTTTGTGCTGTGATGATTCGATGTCTGGAAAAAGAAGAACACCTGCTAAACAAACTAACAGCTCTTCTGCATTTAATCCGTTTTCTTCCTTCCTCTGGCTTCTGTTGTGCTTTCAGTCTGTTCCTGTTTTGTTTTCTTTCATTTCTCATTCATAGTTTTCTATTATGCTTGAATAGGAGAGATCTGATTTTGCAAGACTGTGAGATTATACAATTAAAAAAAAATCGAAGAAGTTTAAAAGCTCCTTATTTTAAGCTTTTTATAGTTCTTCCTCATTAGTATCCAGTTTTGTATTTTGAAAAGCTTATTCTCTCTCATGTGTAAATGTATGTAAAATGAATATTTGTAGCTAACTTATCATAACACAGATGTCTAACAGGTTGCTTTTTAAATTAGTCAGCTAGATTTCTCTGGAAGGCAATCCCATCTGAGTATAAATTGGAAATAAGTGGAGTGACTGGACTGCTAAAAGTTCATTTCTGTGTCTATTTAAACTGTAGGAAATAACCTCTGTTGGTAATTGAGGTTTGCAGTGTTACTTTAGATGAGTAATAAGTGAGCAGAATCCCCTAGAAATATTCAGCAGGTCAGTCTGTTTGCATTGTTTATGTTACATTGTTTACATTGTCTGTTTACATTGTTACTCTGTTCCTTCCACTAATCCACTGCAAAATATGCGAGAAGATGAACTTAAAATTGTTTTTCCCATCTTCCTAAATATGGTTGTTTTCTGTATTGTGTGCTTTATATTGGCCAGTGTAACAAAGTTTAGTGCCTAATCTGGGGCCTGAAGTAATTAATTGAAACGTTTTTTGAATATTTAACAGAATTATAAAAATGCTTGTGGTTTCAATACCACCCTTCTAGAAACTACTTCATAATCTTAAATTTGAAGTGACAGTTTTGTGGTTTGCATACTATGAATTCCACCTCAAAACTGTTTGTTTTGCACCATGCTTGGAAAGAAACTTTTCAAAATGAAACTGGAAGTTTTGAAAGTCTAGTTAAGGTTTCTGCGTGTGATAATAAAGGTTCTTAATTACTTTCTTCACAAATGCACTTTGAATGGTTTTTTTTTTTTCCCCCCACTGAATAGGTCTTGTGGGAATTGGAGACCTCCCGTCTGGTTGCCCATATTGAGAAATCCATGCGAGAAGAAGCTGCAGATGATGATGATGAGTTGTTCTTAGTGGATGAGCAAGGAGAGACACGACTGTCTGGTTATGTGGGCCCAGAGTTTGAGAATAACCTGCGAGTGCCCATTCTAGAAATACTGAAATATCCATATCTGCTGCTGCATGAGAAAGTCAGTAAGTATCTTACTGTGGGCAGCTGGAAGGGCACCTCCTTCTGAAGGAGGTGAAAACAAATAGTAGTTAAAAAAAGTACCAGTCTGTGTGTATATATATTTATTTGTTTTAATTTTGATACTAAATATGTTTTTTGTTTTGTGAGCATGTAAATTAAGTCCTTACTGTAACTGTATTTGTCCTTTTAGGTGAACTGTGCGTAGAAGTGCTCTGTAGAATGGAACAAAGTCACAGCTCCTTTCAGGTCTTTGATAAATATCCAGGAATTTATCTCTTTTTGGTTCACCCAAATGAAGTGGTAAGTTACTTTTTCTCTTCCACTGAAACTTAGTTTTAAACAGTATCAGAACAGGTAATTATATTTAATGACAAGAGTATGAAAGTAGTAGCATTCAGAATTTTAATGATTTTTTTTAAATTTATTTTTTAACAATCTCTGTGTATATAAATGAGATTTCAGTAGGAATATAGTTACTTTTTCGGTGTTTATATCAAGAGGGCGTGAGTTGATACCATCATTTTGCTGCCTCATTTGATGCAGCAGCTTGCAATTGCGGTAGCTGTACTGTTTCCAAGACTGGTGTACTTCAACACCAACGTGCAGTGCACATTTTCACGTTGTCCTAAGAAAAAGTAAAAAATTTAAGAGCATTGTACGTGCTCAAACTCTGACGTTTTCTCAGTAGGTCAGAGAATGTTTCCACCAAGGCAAATGTCCTGTGCTGACAGCACAGTTGACCATCTGTGGTTATAGTGTTGTGTTAGGTAATTAGAAAATGTTGGTCAGTAATGTTTAAACAATGTAAAGCAAGTACCAAACCAACTGCCAACCCTTTATCACATAGATTCCAAGGAGTTTTATTTGTATTTAACCCTAAATTTTAATTACTTTGTTACCAATGCCTTCTTGTAGGTGTAGTAAGCCACTTTCTAAGGTTATTTTGAAAAAAGACAAACTCTTACTTGCGATTGAGACATTAACTTCAGTAAAAATATGCTGTTGTCCCATTTGTAGTACTAGTGACTCCTAATCTTTTACAGCATTGTCATTTTTGTTCTTTTCGTTAATATGTAACTTTTTTTTGCTTTAATCTTTAGATTCGTCGATGGGCCATCCTGACAGCAAGGAATTTAGGGAAGGTTGACAGGGATGATTACTATGACTTACAGGAAGTGCTGACTTGCTTATTCAAAGTTATTGAGTTGGGGCTTTTTGAGAGTCCAGATATTTACAGTTTTACAGTGATTGAAAAGGGTAAACTCATCCTTCTGCCGTCTCATTTATATGATACTGCCAACTACAAGAACTATTGGCTAGGTGAGTATTTATGATGAGAAATGGATTTGTACGTGTAGTCTCTCGCCTTGTAAGCAGTTCTTTCAGGTCAGAGCTCTGCTATTTCATAGGTGTTGTTTATTTTCAGGCAGAATGGGAAAATTGAATGCCTTGCAACTGCAGTAGTGAGGTAGTGTTTAATTAGTTTCGTGTTGCTGCTGATCTCTTTGGTCCAGTGTTACACTGCTACTGGCGTTTGGAAAGTGATCTTCAGTGTGCTGAAAATCAGCACAAATTTTTACAAATGTATGGACAGTTGGGTTTGGTGTTTTTTGTTTCAGGGATTTGTATGTTGCTAACAGTGCTGGAAGAACAAGCTATGGACTCCTTGTTACTGGGCCCAGACAAACAAAATGATTTCATGCAGTCTATACTTCACACCATGGAGAAAGAAGCACCTGGTAACTAATTTTGATACTGAGATTAAGACAGTTCATAGCCTATTTTTCATCTTGATCAAACCTCCTTGCTTATTTGAGTAAACTCGTGGTAGAGTAATGCTGAGGTGACTGTAACAGAGGCATATTTATTTTCTGGAAGATAGCCAGTATTGCGCAGTATTTCAGCAGTGCTGACAAATACTGAAAAATGACATTCAGGCAAACTTAAGTGGAGAAAGGATGTCAGTGCTTTGCATAAGACTGGCTTAGATAGAGGTTGTGAAAAGGACAAATCTCTAATTTCTACTATATTGTTTTCATTTAATCTATAGGTAGTATGGACATGTGCATTTTACTGTGGCGTGAAGCGTGAATTTTGAGTCCTAAAATAAACACCTTATTGTGGAGTGCTGCAACTTGCCTAAAATCTGATTCTTCCCTCCATCTGCTTGAGGGAAGCTGTTCTGCAGCTGGGAGTTTAGACTTTAGGGTTTGGACTAGTAGCCCTTGGGCTCTTCTTGTAGGTCACATGCCATGGCATAGCCTGGGAGTGACACATGAGCTCAAGACCTGGAGCTGCCTTTTAAATGACAACATCTTTATAAGCTTCATATGTGTATTGTGGAGATGGTGCCACATATAAAGAAGGAAGAACATGCTTGAGGGAAATCCAGTTGATTCTAGGTTAAATTTGTTGTAGCTGTGTAAGTTACACCTACTTCTTAGAACAGCACTGCAAAAATTGGTGTGGAGGAATTAGTTTCATGGAGTTGGGAAATACTAGTAATAGTTCTTCAGGTTCCTGTTGATTTAAGCCTGCATGATGAGCAGTATCTGACTGTATAGATAAGTCAGGTTGACTTTTTCGTACTTTTTTCTTTGTCCAGATTAAAAAGCATAGTTGCAACTTACTACAATATGTATCTTTTATATTAATATTTTTTTAAAAAATCAACTATTTAAAACTTAAGCTTATTCTGAGAATGCACAGGACTCTTGCATTTCAACTCTGCGATATTACTGTTATGTTTCAGATGATTCTACTGACCCCTTCTGGCCAGCGCTGCATTGTTTCATGGTTATTCTGGATCAGCTCGGATCTAAAGTATGGGGTCAGCTTATTGATCCTGTCCAAGCCTTTCAAACCATTATCAACAGTGTGAGCTACAACAATGAAATAAAAAATATACGCAATAGCTTTAAGAGGTCAGTTTTATTAAAAGACTAGAAGAGATTTATGACTTTAATACCAGATAGTGTAGTAGCTTGGTCGTAGTTTTCTTGTCAGTGCGATTGTAATTTGTGTTGGGGGAGGGAAAGAATTCAGATTTTACCAATTTCAATCAATGCAAAGATCAAGTAGGTCCCCTAAAATGGTGAGGTTTATGCAAAAACTATGTACTTGCTTCTTTTTGACTACTACAGAGTCTGAGATGCTTCAAGATTAATTTTCTTCTTTTTGAATCAGGAGACTGCTAACTGTTTAGTGCTTATTTCATGCTATACCCAATTTGCACTTAACTTTAATGCAGATTGCCATGCTTGAGATTCTTGGTATGCAAATTTATGAATTTTCAGTGGCTGACGTAGTTCCAGATGACAACTGATTTGAATGTACTTTCAGTTCATGTCAAGTCTTCAGTATTTCTCACAATTAGGTTTATGTAATGGTATAGTATGTGAGAGTCATGGAACTACCCTTTAATAAGGTCAGTTAATATTCTGAACTGCTGAAAGGAAGTGCTGTGAAACACATGGAAGCATCAAATGCTTTTTGAAAGGTTTTTGTTTTCGTATACTTAGATCCTAAGATAAAAATGGGTTTTTTTGAATCACTTCTGAGTGACAATGTTGTCAGTATTGAACGGGAAGTTAATTAGGTTAAGTGTTTATGTTGTACGAAAACGGTTGATTAATACACCGCTAGGAAATAGCTGCTAGGGGAGCAGAAATTGAGAAATAGCTGCTAGGGGAGCAGAATTTTGTTACATAAACTTGAACTACATCACTTGGCATGCTGTCCCTTCTAAGGATTTTTATGAGAATCCAAGAACCAAGACTTTAGGAGCACCTCCTATCTTGGAAGACTGAAATTATGCCTAATTTTAAACAGTTGGTGGAAAATAGTAACTGGATAACCACACCAATTATTTGCTGTTTTCCTGTAGTATAGTTTGAATCAACTTTGAGTGACAGTGTCTTAATTATTCAGTATTTTTGTATGTGTACAGTCTACAATGTTACCAGTAGCTACCCTATGTGTATATGGAATGTTACAGCTGGCTGAGGAAGGCATATTAAAGGAGATTTTCTTCAGTTAGGCAAGCTATTTGAGTGTTATGTTCAAATACTTGCACGTGAAGTTTAGGAATATGTAGCCATGACTGAACTGCATTTATGCATATACAATTCAAAGAAAATAGACTGCTTCTGGGTATTTGTTTTAGGAAGTCAAATCCATGACTTGGTAGAAAGCTTTTTTTCCCTGATTCAGTTGCTTCCCTCACCTCTTATGAGCAGAGTAGAACAAGCTCTACAGTTTGAAGTATGGTATCTCTTTGTAGGTGTGTTTTATCACTGACAAGTTCTAGTAGTCACGTGGTCAGTATCTGAAAAGTGAAATCTGTGTCTTGGCCAGTTGGCTTGCTTATAGTTAGTTTTCTGTATCTATCTATAATGATGTGTATTTCTTTTTAGGACCAAATCTGAACCAGAACCAGACTACGATGATGACATGGTTACTTGTAGTCAGATTGTGTATAATTATAACACAGAGAAGCCTCAAAAGGTATTGAAGAAATATTTTATTTTCTTATTCTTTGAACTCTAATCACTGAGTGATGCTGTCAGTTAAAACTATGTATAAATTACAGAGTGGAAGGTAATGTGTTTCTACTAGTGATGGGTGCAAAGAAAAAATATATTATCTAAAGTATGTCACTATTGTGTGATTTAAATAGCAGTCAGTGTGGTCACTTCTTGTTTAGCTGGTGCTTTCAGGTACTTTCAAGCTGTAAGAGGAGAGAAGGTGTTTGTGAATTAGGCAGAGATGGTATTAAAGCCAAAGAGTTCATATCAAGATTGAAACAAAGATCATTAACTCAATGAAAACTCCGAATTAAGGTTTTTAAAGAAGCTGCTGAATCTGCTCTTGCCTTTCTGTTTGTCAGTATTCCAGACTAATATATTGAGTATGAAGTAGTGAAGGATGCTGTGATACAGTTTCAAATGTTAGACCATGCTCCAAAATGGCACCATTTTTCCTTGTTATGAGCAGAGTAAACATGAGTGTGGTGTTCTCTTGATATTGGTGCTCCGTGTTTATGAAATATTTTTAAAAGCTTTAAATATAGATTTGATGATCCGAGGTTAAATTATGTCAGCTTACCATCTTCTTTGAAGGGTTTTACAATGATTTAGGGAATACTACTTTACACTTGCCACATAGTTTATGGTTTAGGAAAGGAGTTCCTGGTACATGTGTTAGTTTCATCTTTGTTTTTTGCATTTTTGAATTTTATTTTAGATTTTGACTTGCATTAGGATATAAGACTTGTTACCATTTAACAAACACATCTTTGAAAGAAAGCAAACTTTCTGGCTTGAAAAATAAACCTGGCAGATTAAACCGTACAGGCGTTTAAACTGAAGATGTTGTGTGGTAAATTTATTTTTCAGGATGCTGGGTGGAAGACTGCCATCTGTCCAGACTACTGCCCCAACATGTATGAAGAAATGCAGACATTGGCTAACATGCTTCAGTCTGATATCGGCAGAGATACACGTATCCACGACAGCACGTTTCTGTGGTTCATCCCTTTCGTTCAGTCGCTTATGGATCTCAAGGACTTGGGTGTAGCATATATAGTAGAAGTCATTCACTACCTTTGCTCAGAAATCAAAGATACTCTCAATGAAAGATTCCAGCAGTGTGACAAAATCTCTGAGTTTTTTCTTCTGATTTTGGTGTCGATTATTGAACTACACAGAAATAAAAAGTGCCTGCATTTGCTATGGATCTGTTCCCAAGAATGGGTGGAGGCAGTGGTGAGATGCGCGAAGCTTCCAGCTATAGCATTTACGCTTCGCACTGACAAAGTGTCTGGACACTGTGTGAAAAGTTCTTCAATATCTTTCCAAGCTTCTAACTCCGTGCAGCACTCCTGTGTGCAGTTAATACGCAGCCTTCTTAAAGAAGGCTATCAGATCGGGCAGCATGCTCTTTGCAAGCAATACCTAGACAAGCTCAATCTTCTTCTGCGAGGAAATGTATCTTTAGGTTGGCATCTGAACGTCCAGGAAACCCAAGAATTGCAATTATGTTTAAAGCAAGTTATAAGAAATATCAAGGGCAGAGTGTCGCATACCTCTGCGCCAGTAGGAAACAGTGCAAACTCAACAACTTTGCCTGCTCTTTCTATAAAGCAAGAGAAGAACACGTGTGATGATGGATATAAGATGAGTGTATGTGGGAGAGATGACCTTTGTTCACCACTTGCTGTCATATCGAAAGAAGATGGAAATAATCAAGAGAAGCATTTTCCTAGAAGAAAGAGTGAAGGGATGTAGTGATGCACCTAAAAGCTCAAGATTTTGGACGTCCACAGAATGCCTCTTGACTAATATTAAAAAGGAACCTAATGACTCGACGACTCAGGAATATGGCTACCCACAGAACTCTTTGGCAACAAAAGATTGTGGAATAGTTCAGGAAAATAAGAACACCGATCTTGTGGCAGGGAAACGTGATATGGACAATCAGTGCTTTAATCCAAATGCCCAGCGTTTGGATTTCAGAAGAGGCACAGAGTTGGAAAATACATGTGAAACAGCGCTCATAACGCCAAAGTGTGAGGATGTTCAAACTCGTGGTGATTCTCTAGAACATGTGTACAGCTCAGATGTAAAGGAGAGCAACATGTCTACCGGTTCCCCTTCGAAATTTAAAGTAGATCCGCACAGACTCATGGATTTGAAAAACAAGGTACAGAAAATTGAATGGCCCTCAAAATTATCACCACCAGCAAAGTCACATGACATGAAAAACTGTGGTTCAGCCGCTAATGCCTCAAAATCGGAGTTAGAGCAACCTAAGTTTTGTATTGGTTCTCTGTGTACAAGCCAAGATTGTCATAAATATCGGGGAGGAAATGCTGTGTGCGAAAACAAAGTCACTGTTGATGTTTCGTTTTCAAGGAGTCATGAAAGTACTTCAAAGGAAAGTGGCAACAGTCCTTTTCAATCCAGACTGGCCCCCACTACACAACTATCAAAAGCCCCCCCACTAGGTTGCTCTAGCTCCTTTAAAAGTGAACCTCCTCTGCAGGAAGATGGAGGGATTAGTAACACCTTACTGCAAAAAGTATCCACTGAAGAAAAATCAAGTTCGCTGTTGAAATCTGTGTTTAAGAAAGATCCTGACATGCAAACTTCAGATTGGGAACAACCTAATGTAAGTGGCTTAGTTAAATATGACTCTACAGGTCAAATTTCAAAGACGTTTTGTACAGTTAAAACTTCAGCAAATGGTTGTGTTCCATCTAGCTCTGAAAGTGAGAGTGGTGTATCCAGCCCTGCTGCTCCGATCAGGCCATTATCAGTGAAGTGTGAATCAAGTGACAGGTTGGTTGAATTTTCAAAATATTTCAAGAGAGAAGATAATTCGGTAGTTGAAGAGGAGGGTTTTGTGAAGAAGTTTTCTGAAGATTGTACTTCAGCAGACTCCCAGGTTGCTAGAAAACTGAGTAAATTATCTTTAGCGGCACATGTCAAAAGTGAACATTTTCCGTTTGATTCAAGCCAAGAAAACTCAGTCCATGATATAAAAAGGAAAGTGAAAGGTGCTGTGAGATCTTCCAGTGATGGCCAAAGTAGCAAGTCTTCCTGTGTTGGAGTTTGCCTTGACAACCAAGTCATCGTGATTTCAGACTCTTCTGATGAAGAAGGGCGTGCAGCTGACAAGAAGGGAGCAAAAAAAATGGATGAAAATGTGTGTCCTGAAGAGCAGCCTGCAACTTCCAGCTGCGTTTCTGAATCAAAACCTCCAGGCTCTCCCTTACTACTGGAAGACTGTGAGTCTCAGTGCTTTGAATTTGAAACTCAAGCTGATATCTTTTCAGCTTGGCAAGATACTCAAGACTATAGTATGGAAGCAACTCAAGAGTACAAACAAGAATGTGTTTCAACGGTGGGTGGCAGTAGTAATTCTGATGGCTTTCTGAATGATCACACAAACGAATGGGGTTATGATGTGGATTACTTAAGCGATGATGCCATGGAAGAAGCAGACTTGATAGAAAAGCAGATAGAAAGTGTTTCTCATCAGAAAGAAGGTGATAATACAAAAGAAGTAGTTAATTCCACATTGCAAGAATCCATAAGTAAGGAAAATGCAAAAGAGCAGCTGGAGAATTTTGCAGACAAAGGTACTGTTGCTAAACACCTCACCCTAGACTCAAAATCGACTGAACCCAGAGCATCTACCTCTAACATCTCATTAGCTTCAAAGTTGGCCCTTAAGAAAAGTAGTGTGAGCCCACGGAAGAACATAGCAAAATCTAAAGGAGCGAGAACTATTCTAAGAAGTCCTAAAAACCCTTTCGTTCTTAAAACGGCACAAAATAAAAAACTACTTCAAAGTACGCTAAGAATTTCTCAACCTGACCGGTCAATGCCTGCTGTGGTTCCGCCGAGGAAGGTTCGGCAATGTCCTGCACCAGCATCGACTGTAGAAAAACTCGGTCTGAAGAAGGCACCCCGCAAAGCGTTCGAATTATCCCAGCGCTCTTTGGACAGTATAACGCAATTGCGCAGCCACGGCAAAGCTGCAGGGAGGATTGGAGTTCCACAGAAACGGGAGACTAAACAAATTGCTGCTCAGAGTTTGTATGTAAAGCATAACAAAAAATTTCTAGCCTGCCAAGAGCGGCAATATTTAAGGCAGACAAGGCCCAAAAAAAGTGTCAGAGCGAAAAACCCCGCAGGAAGTTCTGAGAGCAGAAACAAAAAAGTTAGCACAGTGTCTGCAAAATCTGTGAAACGAAAGCCTGAAAATTTTGAACTGGCATCTGTTGAAAACCAAAGAGAGAAAAAAAGGGAGACTGTTAGTCCCTCTGCCAGCAAGAGAAAATTTGAAAGCCTCTCGTGTGTCTCTAAAATGCTTAGTTCTTCAGACTTGACTGGAAAATCAGAGGGTTACAATAGGGTGGTTCCTCCTGTACCTGTGGATTCAAGTCTCAATTCTTCTGTGCTTGCTGGGCATGATAAAAATGAACCTTCCGGAAAAGGTTGCGTTGTCCAGCCGGAGCATGAGAAGACAACTTCAAAAGAGAATGGTTGCACACCAGATGAAAACAGTGAAGATGACGATGATTTATTTTTAACTCAGCGAGAACCTGAGGACATGGAATTATGTTCCCAGGAGGAAAGTGTTCGAGATACTACTATAGCTAGTAAAAAACCAGAGGAGATGGATACTGCTGAAAGCATTCAGCAGAATGAATCCTTGACTGTTGTGAAATGTGAGTACAAAGACTGTGTTGAAAAAGTGGGAAAACCAGGAGAGTACTGTAGTAAGCATTCAGCCACCACCAGCTCAGCAGCAGATCACCTGTTTGTTAAACCTTCTCTCCTGCCACCTTCGAAAATAAGAAAGCCTTCCACTACCAAAATTTTCAGCTCGGTGAGTTCTTCACGGAATGCAGCCTTAAGCAAGGACCTCGAAAACGTTCCAAAGGTATCGCCAGCTTCAAAAAGCAAAGCAAGCGCAGTGAAACAGGTGGTGATCCGGCCACCGAGCACGAAGGCTGTACCGAGAGGCAATCAGCCCTGCGGCTCTCCAAGTTTCAGTAACCTACCTCAACCCCGTGCTTATGATAACGTTCTTCAGCCACAAAACAGACAGAACAACGTTCCAAGTAATTACAGGCCAGCCCGAGAAGCTTCCTTTATTGGCGCTCAGCAGCGGGATCATAGTGTGTTTGTTAAAGAAGTTCTCAAATGGACTTACGATATGTTTGTGAACTCCAGCCAGTTTGGACCTCCGAGTAATCTCCTGCAGTCTGTAGTAGCCGCTGTTCCTGTCCAATTTCAGGGGTACAATGACTATTTTAATACGTTTTTCCCCTTGATGATGCTAAATGCCTTTGAAACAGTAAGTAGCTATCTGCTTCTTTGTTTTCATCAACCCCATTAAATTTCACCAAGGGACTGAAAATTGTTTGATGTCCTCTGAAAATGTTCAGATGTGGTTCTGAATAGAGGAATGATTTGGGGAAAGCAATCTAGACAGTTATATTGAAGGCTGTCGGTGCTATTCATCTCAGTGAAATCTTTATTTTGGTGCACTTCTACAAACATGCACAAGGAGGGGAAAAAGGAGGTGGTTCCTCTTTATAGCATATAAAGCTTAAAACAGAAATCTTTAAGAAACTTGAGGTCTTCTGATGACGACCTCTCTATAAAAAGAGTAAGAACATGATGTTTTGATTTATGTTGAATTTATTTGGGAGGTTAGGTTAATTTGAGGAGTACTTTTTTCCAAACAGCTAAGTAGCTTAATAGTGAGAAAGCACAGTGTTCCTTCAATGAAAGACTGTGCTTTCAAGTGCAGTCAATGCATCACTTCTCCCCTAGAAATAAGGTAAAAGAATTAAGTCAGTACCAGAGTATTACTGGTGTTTTCAAGTAAAAACACAGTTGGGGAAACCCACATTTAAGTGCTTTGCAAGCAAGTGCATTAAATGGGGATTGGGTGGGGAGGAAGTGCTTTTGTTTGCCCACTGTGTTTGTGTGTAACATGTCTTTATATAGCAAAAGAAAAAGAAATGGGTGAGATTCTTTGTCTTGTACTTGACAGTAGGTTAGCTTTTTATTTATGCTTAGTATGTTTGCCTTTTGAGTCATGATCAGCTATTCTTCTGATACACTAAACCCTTCAAAGTATTGTTATTTAGCTTTTACTTTCCAACACGTAGCTGGCACAGGACTGGATAGAAAACCAGAAAGCAAAAGAGAAGTGTTACCTCTTCTGCTTACAGAACTTCTGTGCTGACTTGAATACAGCAGATTTTAAAGGTAAGAGGTGTGGCTTGTGGGTATTATTATTTTTTAAATTATTATTTATAAAACTCTTCTAATTTTCAAGTAGACAATGCCTTATAATGAGCTAGCACTTAGATAATTTTAATTTACTTTAAATACAGAAAATACCTTGAATTTTCTGTTTTACAGAATGCACGTAAGAGATATGTGTTTTGCAGGGAGTTTGTGCCTTAAGTGTTCAGTACAAAATGTTATTTGATTGCTGTTGGAATACTTTTTCTCGCACATTTGAGATTTTGTTTCAGGTTCTTTTGATAAAGAAAATAGTTCTTGACTGGCTCTATTTCTATACAGTGCTATGTTCAGGCTTAAGAATGAAGGACAGAGTTAAAACTCTAAATCTTTTGCTGTAGCTTTTAATAGTTTTGAAAGTGAACTGGTGGGTGTTACTGAAGTTTATGCAGTATGTTAATCATAGCACTTCTGTAGTCAGTAAGAAATTGTAACCATTTTCCTTTTAACGTTCTAATTGAAAAATGTATTTCGGGTAGCTCCTTTTCGAGAAACTGATCTGGCAAGGCAGCTTCATCCGAAGGAGGATGACTTGATCCTTTTGGTAGTTCAAAAGAAAAAAGACCCCTTTAGGGAAGACAGTGAGATGGAGACCCATATAGTGAACCACGTTGGGCTTGTGACACGATTTTCTCGTGCATCTGGCAGTTTAACTAGTAAGTAAATGGGATTGAAAAAAAACAGTGTGTTTCTTTTCGGTTTCATGTTTCTTCATAGCTGGGTGTTGATAGATGCAATGTGCCACTTACCTCAGGGGAAGTGGGGTTGCTTTGCCACCGTAGCATGTCTGTTCCATGCTAGAAGCTTCATAAAAAGCCGGGAGCTGAAGCTGCAGCCCTGCTTTCCTTGCATTTTTCTGGGGACTTCCTTCAATACAGATGTGCCATTAACTTCACTGATCTCACTGACTAAAATTTTTATCTTCTGGAACTGAATCTATGAATTCCCAGGATTACTAAGTATCAAGATTCATGCTGCCTGATTAAGAGAGTGATCAGAGTTGTTTTACAGAGCACTGGTGGGTTCCTTTTGGGAATTGTTTTTTTTTTTTCATGATGGGGAGTGGGGTAATGTTTGGGCTTTTTGCAAGAATTAGATGTTGGCTCCATAACAGAAGGCAGCACTTGGCTCTGGTGAATTCTTTGCAAGACCTTTTTGAATATCAATTAACAGTTTGGATTTTCTTTGAATTAACGACTTGTAGTATTGATTTTATTTTTTTCTTCCTTCCCTTTCCTCCCTCCTTTTAATAGGACAAAAGGAGCAGCATACCATCTGTCATCTTTCTGTGCAAACTCGAGGCAATTTGTCATTCTTCATAAATAAGGAAGTGAAGTGTGTGGTGCTTGGCTCCCTGGTGACTGTCCATCGAACGTTCAAAGGTCTCCTGCTCTTGAGCAGGAGTCCCCTGGCTAAACCCATCATAGATCCACGTTACCAGGACTTCTGTCCCAGAGATTTGCCTGTAGCTTCAGAAAGTGCTGTGAGTCCTGCAGCTAGAAGTGGTAGTTCGGGGTGACGAAGTGGGCATTTGGATCTCTTTGAGTTTTGTAAAACTGGTTTTGCATGCTGTGCTTTGAGATGACCAAGTGCAAACAGACAAGTTTGAGAAGCCCTGAGGCACTACGCTTTTCAGAGTTGGTCATTTGGGTGGGTAGAGAGGCTCAGATTTCCTCAGGTGTTTCTGCTCTATTGACATGGATACCAGTAGTACACTCAGAAGCAGCTTTCAGTTTCTTTTCCTGACTGGAGAGGTGTCTGCTTGGGGAAATAAGGTGTAGGGTGGAAAAGGTAATGCAAAATAAAGGTGTGTAGAATAAAACAAAACTTTCATTGCAGCTTTTGAGTCAGGATTGGGTGTGCATCGAAACCAAACCTGGAATCAAAAGCTTCCCTGCCCTTCAAGTTTTGGAGTTGTAGCTAAAGGGGTGGAGGGGTATTCTGAAAATAGGTAAAACTAACATGGAAGGATTGATCAACATAAAGAAATTAATTGCTTTTTCCTCCTTCAGGCATCAGGTATGAATGAATACAATGAAAATCAGAAGAGAGCCATTGAAACAGCTTATGCCATGGTAAAGCAACATCCAGGGCTTCCCAAGATCTGCCTCATCCATGGACCGCCTGGCACAGGGAAATCAAAAACTATTGTCGGACTTCTGTCTCGTGTTTTGAGAGAAGTGAGTGAATGTGATTGCCATATGCTGGTGTTTGGCTTCCCAATGGAAGTCAGTGATAGCTTAAGCTAAATGGAAGTGTAGCATTGGTACTTGCTGGGGATATATAAGCTAGCTTAATTAAATCCATACCGTATAGGGTGTAAAGATGGAAATAATACCTTTTGGGCATCTTGGAAAACACTTACTTTGCAGATCTTGAGAAGCAGAATGAAGAAAATGTGCATAATTGGTAGTATAAATGCTTGTTACTTAAAAAAGCTTAGTATTTTGATGTATTAAAGACTGTTACTTGGCCTGTGCCATTTCTTTGTGTTTCATATTAGCATCCAGTAGATGGAAATTTATGGAAATAGTATATTTTACTTGTTGTTACTCAGTGTAAGACATACATTAAGAGGTATTCAGGTGCAATAGTCCTTGTACTCTGTATGCTGATCAATATGAGCATACAGTCTGACTTTTAAATTACAAGTTAAAACAATCTGGAGAGCCTATTTTGATTTATTGTTAATTAATCTACAGAATACTAGAAATGAGAAAACAGCTCAAACAAGTTCCAAGATCAAGAAAAACCGTTTCCTGGTTTGTGCGCCATCAAATGCTGCTGTTGATGAACTCATGAAAAAGATCATCATTGCATTTAAGGAAAAATGCCAGAACAAACAGGAGCCTTTGGGTATGGTTTATTTTAAATTTCTCTTTATATCTTAAATAGGCAAAATGTGAAGGAGAAACTGGAGCAGTTGATTACATATAATACTTATACGCTATGCTAAGCAGCGTTTTTCTCTTAGGGAACGTGACTGATACAGCCTCGTACTGTTATTAATTTTAATATGCTTTTCAAAAAGGTGTATTTTGTGGGTTTGGTTTTTGTTTGTTGTTTTTTTTAAACAAATTACACTTTGTCTTTGTATAGACGTTGACCCTTTCCTCATAGTGTTAGTTGCAATACACAATTTAAGTTCTCCTTCAGGACTTGAACATAAGACTATTACATTGATTTTGAATAAAACTGGACTTCACTGAACATTCTAAATACTGATGAAAATTTCGATTTGTCAGAGTGTCTCACTATTGCTTGGTTTTGTTTGTGTGTTGTTTTTTTTTTCTCTCCTTCTAATGTGTGACTAATACTAAGTAGATGAATCTGAATAACATTCTTAACTGTTAGCCACCACTAAATTATAGGGAATTGGTTGAGTGTGGGGGTTTTTTTTGAGTTCGGAATTACTTTTTTTTTTTTGTAGCCGCATTTAAAGAAGTACAAGGAAATTGTTGCAAACCCCTGAAAATCAGAAAAGGAAAAAGCTTGTTTGATATCCACGATGTCTAAATTTATGTTTTTTCTCTCTTGCACCAAAGTGCAGAGGGGATTGATGCAATCTGAAAGTGTTTTGACTCTGATTTTGTAAACAGGAAATTGTGGTGATATCAAATTAGTGCGACTTGGTGCTGAAAAAGCAATCAACAGTGAAGTCCGGGGATTTAGTCTGGATAAGCAAGTTGAACATAGAATGAGTAAGTAATATGCAAATCAGACTTTTTATTCAGTTGTCTTTAAGAGCTTGATGGCGTTTTGCACTTGAGACTATGTGTCCCTTAAGAGGGAGGATCTGGTAGAAGATTTTTCTATAATATTGTTTTTCTCAGTCTTACTGAGAAAGCGTCAACTTACATGTGACCTAAAATCTACACAAAAGCAAAGAAATAAGAAAGAGAACTTCATGGGTTTTTTTAATATATTTTTTTAAAGGCATTGTACTAAATGCATGTTAAAGCTATTTTTTATAAGTAGTGCAGATATGCAGCATGAGAACTACAGTTGGAACCAAATCTCATCATCTTTGTTTTACAAGACCTTGATAGAAAAAGGGAAATGCAATAAAAATGAGTGTATCTATTTGTTTTTAATAACTTAAGATGCGTAACTGAGGGTGAGTGTCATAGTAACATGTTTTTTCAATTCCTTCCATGTATTTTCCTATGTTTTTGTTCTAGAACGAAAGCCAACTGACTATGATCGGGATCTTCAGAAGAAAAAAGAAGCTTTGGATCAAAAGCTGGACATGCTGTCTCGTCAGCGTGCCAGGCAGAGATGTGAGAAGAGGGAGGTAATAATAAGATAATAGTACTTTTTAGTCCTGTTTATGTTTTGTGTGTCCATGACTGAATCCAAAGAATAAAGAACTCTCTTTTAATGCCCTCTCTGAGAAGTAACTCTCTCTTTGCTTTCTTTTTTCAACTAATAGCAACGTTGGTTAGCATCATGGAAGGGAATGAAGAACGTTGCATAAGGAATTTATTTGCTTGTACTAGTCTTTTCAACTGGTTGATCATGCCACTTCTTGTTCTCATATTCAGGAGTCTTCATTTGGTTCTGTCACCAGTTAGATTTTTAGTGTAACCATATTTATAAATCTTAATGATTTAATTTTGTTTTATACTTCAAAGCTCTGGTTTTGTTTAACTGGAAATAGTGAGATGCCTCGCAATCTGAGATTTTGGAATCTTTGTGGCACTTAAAGTTTTCTAATCTTTGTCTAAAAGTTTGGCATTTGTTGTCAAATTGCAGGTTTCTGATGGTAAACTGTTTTCCCAGTTGCACAGAAATGTAAGGTGTAGTATTGTGCATTGCAAAGTCTAAGTATGTTGACAAATTTCTAAGAAACTGATCAACCTCTTCAGAGACATGATACTAAAAGACAATTTGAGCAGTCTAAATATTTAGAAAATGAGTTAGGGTATGAGAGGAAAAAGGGTGTAAGGGAAATGTGAGGTGGTATTTTTTCCTCATACATGGTTTCCCTTAATTTCCCCTGTCTAGAGTCAAATGTTAGATGATGAAATCGGCAGACTTTCGAAGGAGAGACAGCAGCTTGCTTCTCAACTGAAAGAGGTAGGAATTTATCCTTAAGGCAGCTCCTTAAGTATTTATATTAGAGGGCTGGTTAGCTCAGTCAATGGAGCGTAGCGCTAACAACGCTGAGGTCGCGGGTTCGATTCCCATTTGGTCCCCATGTGTTGCCTGATCTAGTCGAGAGGTGGCATCCCTGGCGGAAGGGAGGCTGGATTAAAATGATCTCTAAGGTCCCTTCCAGCTTAGGCCATTCTATGATGTGATATCCTTGATATTCTTTAGTTGGGGTGGAGGTTTACTTTCGATGTGGCTGGGAGTATTTGTTAAAGTAGTAGGTAAATAGAAGCTGTGCACTAAGTTATGGATGGCCTGGTGTGAAATCCAGGTGTACTTTGGCTGCATAGTGCAAAATGAAAAATTAAAAAAAGGTGGGACTATTCACTATTGCACTTAAGGATGAATTTTAAACGAAATGTGGCATATTTGGCAAGAAGGTAATAGAAACGCGTATGTGCTTGTGTTCTGGGGTGTGTCTGCATCACCACTTCCGTGTCCCTTAAGTCCTACTAGAATTGAGATTCTTCTGAATGTTTTTAAGTAAAGCAACAGCTGGAAGAATTTATTTTTTGTGTGTGTATGGAGATAGATCTGAAAGTGGAAATAGGCACTGATAGCAAAACCAGCAATTAAGGCTGGGTAGCATGAACTGTGAGATTAATGAAGGTTCATCTTTAGTGCATGTATGCTGACCCTTAATGGTCATGGAGGCTTGGAATTATAAATGTGATGGCAAACCAAACTTTAGCTGACAGTCTGTCTAGATTGCAGGGCTGTAGAGATAAAGAAATACTTCTTTCCAGTTTGTTACCTCTGTGGCATTGATCTGTAATTTAAAGTGAAATTAGCGCTTCAGTTCGATCGATTTGTGACTTTCATTTGTAGTAACGCAGGTATTCGTTGGGATAACGCGTTGTGTGTGATCTGTTTGGCAGTTAGAACTGTCCAGGCAGTGAGAAATTGCTCTAAAGTGATTCAAGAAAGCTGAAAGAGGAGATGTGGTGTCCTGTTGTACTTTTGAAGGTCCGGGGGCATTCTCAGAAAGTGCAGACAGATATCATCCTGGAATCTGACATCATCTGCTGCACACTGAGCACAAGCGGAGGAGTTCTGCTGGAATCTACTTTTTTGCGGCGAGGAGTTGATTCTTTCAGCTGTGTCGTTGTGGATGAGGTCAGTAAAGCTGTTCACAGTTACAGCATGTTCCACCTCTGAAGTCTGCCTAATTTAACTGATAATCAGCCTGTCCTGCTATGTGGAGCCACAAGAAGAAATTACTTTTTTTTCCCCCTTTTCTGACTTTTTTGATGTTTTAGTGGCAGATGGCTTTTGCTTAAAAATCATAGCTGATGCCTGGTTCTTGCTGTAGGAATTTCCAGATGGTTGGGTTATATTTGCTGTCTGTTTGGAGAGCTCTGAATACTAAATAATAAAATAAAAATTCCTGTTTGTATGTTTTATTAGGGAAAAATGAATCTTTCTCTTTTAAAAATTATTTTTCATAAGACTTAAAAAGAATTTGAGTTTTCTGGCTCTGTCACATGAAATTTAGTATACTTCCCTCCACTCCTTTGCTTACAACTTCTATGTTTTATCCTGTTTGCATATACAAAAGGCAGGACAGTCCTGTGAGGTTGAAACACTGATTCCACTGATCCATCGCTGTAATAAACTTGTCCTTGTTGGAGATCCCAGGCAACTTCCTCCTACTGTAAAATCAGTAGTAAGTATTCAGACTGTATTTTTTTTTTTTTTGTGCTATATAGTAGATATTTGTAGAAAATTCAAGTGATTCTTTTCTTTTATGTATATCAGATCAGGATGTGTTTCAGATAACTTTTGCTTGCAAGTTCAGTCTCTGTTATGTGGAGACTGTATCTGTAGTGCCTTCAGAAGTGTGACTGAAGCTGAGAGGTGTGTGTGTATCCTAGCCAACAGTAAGAAGGACTGTTTTAAACATCTGATAAAGATAGAAGGAAAAACAGATTAACTTCTCTAGAAGGGTAAATTGTCTGGAGGCTACATGCTTGGTTATTGAGATCCCACCTGGAAGATCTTGCTTTTCATTATCGTTGTTTTCAAAATTTTACTGTGTTGTAACTCACAAAGGAAAGTAGTCTTTAGCAAGACTACACTAACAAAAATTCAGATTTATGCAGGTAATCTTTACTGAAATAGAAAGACTAACACAGAAAATTGAAGTACAGGTACTTGTCATTTTGTCGGCAATTAAAAAATTTAAAAGGAAACAGGTAGTTTTAAGTCAGAAAGCAAATTCACATTGTTAATTTGGGACCTAATTCCCCAGGAGTCAGTCTCACGTTTTTCCTCTGGCAGAAAGCTCAGGAATACGGCTACGATCAGTCCCTGATGGCGCGGCTGCACAAACACCTGGAGGAGCAAGTGCAGAAGAATGTTTTGCGGAGCCTGCCGGTGGTGCAGCTGACGGTGCAGTACAGGATGCACCCTGACATCTGCCTCTTCCCATCCAATTATGTTTATGGCAGGACTCTAAAGACTGACAAGTGAGTAGCTCTTTGAAATCCGCCCGCTCAGAAAGTAGAACAAAGACATTTTTCATATCAGGATATTCTCCCAAGTCTGAAAATTCTTGAGGTTGTGCAGTGAGGGGGGAAGATGCTTAGTTGGAGAAAACTTGTTTTCCATCTCTTGTTAGTGCTGACTGTGATACTCAGGTAAACTCTGTGAACTCACTTAAAATTGAGTATACTTGCTGCTTGGTGTTAATTTCCAAGCCTCAGGTATATGCAGGTAGTAAATTAAGGACTCTTGAGAAAAAAACTGAAAATTTCTTGTATTTGATAGCTATAGTCTAAATAAATGAAGTTTCAGCTCTTAGAATTTCTTTAAGGTTATCTAGTAATAAAAATATTATTTACAGAGCCACAGAAGAGAACAGATGTTCTTCAGAATGGCCTTTCCAGCCCTACCTTATTTTTGATGTAGGAGATGGTCGTGAGGAGCGAGACAAAGAGTAAGTCCTACGTTCTACTCAGCCAAATTTTAGATTTGCTGCGAGTTCATCACCTGCCCCTCTGTTCCTTATATGCGTTAAGTAGCCAGGACTGCGTTTTCAACTTGATTTGATTTTACGAAAGAGCGAGTGTTAAATGTTTTTGGTTTGCTTTTTATTTATTTAATCTGAAATTGCTTTTAATCCTGGTTTGACGGTCTGTTAGGGGCCAATGAATGCCTGCAATCTTTGCTGACTCTAGTAACACTTTGAGTTCCTGATCGTTAGCTCGGTTGGTTAGAGCGTGGTGCTGATAACACCAAGGTCGTGGGTTCGATCCCCGTTTGGGCCCCATGTGATCTGGTTGAGAGGCATCCCTGCCCATGACAGGGAGGTTGGATTAAATGATCTCTAAGGTCCCTTCCAGCCTAGGCCATTCTATGATTCTATGATTATTTTTTTTTTAGCAGTAACTTTGTGCTTTCACAGCTGCATGCTGTTACAGTGCCAGAAGGTGGCAGGCTCAGTCCTCCCCTTTGCCTATCCTGTAAGGAAAGCAAAGCCTCTGTAGTTTTAAGGGAATGTTAAGTGCAGCCTTGCAGTGCTGCCACTTCTCCCGGTGTTAAGAGCCCTGCATCAGGGCCTGCTCACAAAGTTCTTCCAGCCTCAGTTGGAAGGAAGCTGCAAAAGTTCAAGACAGGAGCTTTGACTTCCTAATCCCCCTCCCAACTGGGCTGAAGTGTTGAAACTGAAACAGCTGTCAAACGTATTTCTGTAATGTTTCCATTCTGTCTTGTTCAGCTCTTTTAGTAATCCTCAGGAAGTGAAGCTGGTGCTGGAATTAATTAAAACAATTAAAGAAAAAAGGAAGGATCTGGGTCTTCGTCGCATTGGAATAATTACCCCTTACAGTGCACAGAAAAAGAAAATTCAAGAACAACTGGACAGAGTGTTTGGGAGTAACAGGTAAAAAGCATGAGTTTTCAAATGGAACTTGGCTCTTGCGCATTCGTCCTTTGGTTTACCCTCTTAAAATAACATCAAAAACTCTCAAACTTTCTTCTGTACTTAGTCATGCTTTTAAAGGAGACATGCAGTCCTGCTTAGAACAAGTGTGGCTTCTTTGTACCATTGTGCAGTTGCTGTAGACACACTTTGATTATGTTGCTGTTCTGAATAAAGCTGATTTACCAGAAAGCATAAAATTCCAGACAGACCTGAACAGCTTTTTAATAGTGATACTGGCATCAGAGAAGTAAGTTGGGCTTAAGGTTCATACACTGAAGCAGAAATCTACCCTGGATTATTTTGACAGGTGATCCTTAAGGATAGCATTTAGGCTATTTGCATCAGTGTGTTGCTTAAAAATTCAACTACCATAGTTTTAGTGGCTTGCTAATTTCTTTCTTCAACAGCCCAGGAGAAGTGGACACAGTGGACGCATTCCAGGGACGAGAGAAAGACTGTGTCATAGTGACCTGTGTCCGGGCAAACAGCACTAGAGGGTCCATCGGGTACGTTTCTCTTCGGTGATTTGCAAGTCCAGTTTCCACTGATGATCTAGATAACAGTTATATTTTTTTTTTCGTATGACCAACTAAAAAGTTGTAGGGAGCAAGTCACTGCAGCCAGAAATTAAACGGTATTTTAATGTGGGAATTAATGTTACTGGTTTGAGATCTCTGAACAAAAGGGACACAGAAATGTTCAGCATCATGTTCTGCATTACATGTTGATGAATTTGCACGGCTGCCCTGGCCTGTCTCTGTTTCAGTTTGGCAGGATTGGTCTTGGGCACTTGACTCTTTGCATTAGTACCACAACAGTTATTTTTCTTGGGGCTTCTTCTATATATATTGTAACTTTCTGGATCTTGCTGTCTTAAAATGAAATTTTCTGTGACTGTCACTATCCTACTAATAGAGCATTCTGTCTGTAGAAGCGCTGTTAGCTAGTCATATACGTTGCGAGGAATGTGATGCAGATGAGTCAGATCTTTGATTTGTAGATGAATCTACTTGTCTTCTGAATTTGGAGGAAACTTGCAGAAGTCTTGATTCAAGATTCCAGATTTGATAAACTTATATGGTTTTTTTCCTGTCTCAAACAGAAGGAACTAGGTACTGGGTATGCTATTTACCCCCATGTGCGCAACAGCAATTGTTGATTTGTTTGTGTAGCTTATGGACCATTTTAGTTTAAAAACCAGTGGTGGATTCAGGCCTTCTTAGAGTTCATTGCCTTTTAAGCTAAACTGTGGGAAGTCTGTTTTCATAAACAAGAATCTTTGTTTCTGCATACCAGATTTCACTAAGCTACTTATGCTTCTCTGATGCTAATTTTCTAATTGCTAGATAAAGCGCTTTTAATTGTGCTGATCCATGCTACTTTGGGAAGAGAAACAATCCCAATCCTATAGTAAACAACAGTGATGCTTTTTGGAGATTTCTTCATCTAGTTGACGGAGTTTGGAAACTGAAGGCAGCTAGAACCTGCCAGTTCTTGTGGCTGACACAGGACTTAACCTCTATCTGTCCTTTTGGAAGAAAGCTTTCCAGCTTACTGTATTGAAGTTTTATATACTAAAGCTCTGATAGTGCAGTGCCGTAGAAGTTGTATGTACTGATGGCTTGGACATCTCTGTTTCAGGGCCAGGCATCATTGGCGAGATGTGATGGGAAAGTTTTTTTTGCCTCAGTCTTACTCCTATGATCCTGTAGCTGAGCAAAGTATTTTGGGCTCCAAGGTTGCTAGTCTGGCAGTAAATTCACTCTGAAAGTAACTTGAAAAGGAAGGAAAAACTACAAGGAATGAAAACAGTTTTCTTTTCTCCTTTCCTGAGAAAATAATCTTGTTGTCTTTCAGTTTTAAAAGCTGTTAGGAATACTTAGTAGTCTTTCAAGATCCCTTTCTTTTTCTCCCGAGACCTAGAGAACGGTATTACCTGTGCTGCTGGATCCACTCCTCTGGTTTGCTCTATTTTTACCTGCCCTGCCCAAATTTTCTGGGGTGGCTCTGGGACCTTTGCAGTCTTTACTACAGGGATTGTGAATTTGCTGAAGGTCAGTGCCGTGACCACAGTATCAGTCTTTGATGTTGGACGTGCTCAAACTAAGTTGTATGAGACTTCATATTGCAAACTGTGTTAGTGTAGAATAAACTGTGTGTTTTGGGAGGTCTTTCATTAGAGAAGAAATAGTTGATATTAGTTCCACAAACCTCTTTTGGAGTTCTGCTGGTAAATCAGCACTAACAGAAACCAAGCTTTAAGAAGGCACTACACCTTTATTTGTTTAGATTTCAGTACATTGGTTTGTGATCCCACAAAAACAGACTAGACTGTTTTCCTAGAGCAAATAAAAACTCTTCTGCAAGAAAGTACTTTTTCACTCTTGAAGCATGACTAAGCAAAAGTCCTTCTTCATGTGCTCCCAGTGCAGGTCACCTTTAAAATAAAATATTCATGTCCAGCCTTCAGTGTTTCAGCAGAAAATTTTCCCATTCATCAGGCCAAATATTATTAATCTGTTACAGTTCAAGTCAAAAAGAAGCTTAAAGTCTTGATAGGTGAAGTGAGGTTGATGTCTTCTGTACTTTGAGGAACATTTAAGGAAGCAGTGGTTGGCATTAAGAGGGGATTTGATCTAAGAAAAGAAACATCAATGGCAAGAGCTGGAAAGAACTGGTATTACCTTTTCTGGTAAAGAGCTGGTATTTGCCTTTCTTTCATCAGGGAGTAAAGGGCTTTGCAGGGAGGGGTGAAAGAAGGAAAAAACCAGTTCATGCAAAGCCCGTCACATAAGGCACGGCTGCTGTGGTGGGATCTAGGGATGGGCTGTGAACTGCCACTGCCTTTGTAACTGCTTCTGTTATCTTCATTTCACTGAAATTGAACCCTACATCTTTTTCTCCTAACACTTAAACCTCACAGTAGTAGTAGCTTAGGAGCTTAGTTTTGTCTTGTCACCTAGGTTCCTGGCAAGTCTTCAGCGTCTGAATGTTACGATTACTCGAGCCAGATTCAGCCTCTTCATCCTTGGAAGACTGGAGACGCTCATGGTAGGTACAACGTTAATGAAATGAGTGTCTGTGATCCACCCTCTGAGGGCATGTCAGGGCTGGGGAAGTGAAAACCGTCCTGAGGCTGCTCTAGTCTATGAAAGGGGACCGTTTCTAGGGTATTGTTAAATTAGTACAATCCAGGTCTCTGAGGGTTCTCTTTGGCTGTAACTGTCATGAAAGCTTTAAGAAAATGATACTGTTTTCCTTGCTTCCAAGAAGGAAAGTTAGAAATTACTCTCACAATATTTCTAGGAACTAAATTACAACACAGTCCTTTACAATTCAAGTGTAGAGGTTGTGAAAAACCGTTTCTCTACTGGTAAAGACAGGATGGTGGCAGAGATGCATTCTTGCTTGATCCTTACGGTTCCTCTAGCTCCAGTTATGGCAGTTGTTACTTGATACTTAAGCAAGGAAAATGATTTTAAGAAACCCAAACCATTCCAAACCATTCCCCTGATTTTCAGATCATTTTTCCAACACTGCTTTGTGTACTTATGTGACTTGTGAAGATACTTTTTGCTTGCATTCTTTGAAACACCTGTTTCTGAAACAGAACTACATATTTAAGGAACTATAAAGGCCTACTGAATGTGTAAAGAATGCTCTTGAATAGACTTAATGTCTTACAGTGCTTGATTTTTATTCTTTTTCCGGAGGGGGAATGTTAGCTGCACCACTAGAGGGCGTTAAAGCCCTGTCCCTGTTTCACTCTCTGTACGAGTGGTTTTCATAAATATAGAAATTGTCATTTTAAGTAATAGCTCACTGATGGTTGAAAGTACCTTCCCTGTGTTACAGCAGCCAGAGTGCCTATTGCTGTTTTGCAAGTGAAACATAAGATTCTTCCATTCCAGAAGGAACATAACAGTGATTTCCATGTCAGTTGTGTCAGGTACTAAAGGGGTTGTCCATCCTCTGTCCATTTGTGTAGATTTATTTCTCATACAATTTTTTTTTTGGGGGGATGTCTCTTTCTGTTCTTTTTCTAAAGGAAAATAGAGACTGGAATGAGTTGATTCAGGACGCCCATAAACGAGGTGCCATTATCAAGACATCAGAAGAAAACTATAGGAAAGATGCTGTTAAGATTTTGAAGTTCAGGTCAACAGTGCGGCCCCCAACCAAACCAGAGACAAAGAAATCTCCTCTGCAGCCTTGTTCTTCCAGTAGCAAGAGGGATGAGCTCGCAAGCCCAAAGGAGGTCAGCAGCCCCACGGGACACGTGGCTAGTGCTGGCCACACTGAAGCCGAGGGCCCCAGCAGGCAGCGCAGGCTGCAGGCTCCCGGAGAGGCAGCGCCTCCGGGCCCGTGGAAGCTGCAGCAGTGCGTCCCGCTGATCGAGAGAAACTACGGGACCCGAGGCTGGCAAGCATGGCTAGTAGGACTGAAACAAAAGGCAAGGAGCAGACCTCAAAGGACAGTAACCAGTCAGCCCAGAGCAGTCTGGGATCAACGTCACAGCAAGGCACTGATGTGTCCTCAGCTGCCAGGGATCAGATTTCCAGAACAGAAATTTCTAAGAAGCCCCAGCACACGATGGGACGATGCAAAGGGCCTTCTGTGGTGTCTTCTGCAACTCACCAGAAGGGTAACCAGGGAGTTCTTGTGTCGAGAAGCAGCTCAAAAGGCCATGGTGAGGGAGGTCACAGTAACAGCAGCAAGTGGAGTGAAGAATTAATGAGGAGAATGCCAGAGGAATTGCCGGAGACGAGCGAGTCAAACAGTGCCAAGCGAAGAAAGACCTCTCACAGACTTTAGTATTAAATATCTATTCCCAGATTTCTGTCTTTCCAGGACTGTATTTTAAATTATTTAGTATGCCTGGAACTCCCTTATATTGATACCACTACTGTCGGTAGATCTGACTTTTCCCTATCCTGTCCCTAATTGTTAAGGGGACTTTATACCTGACAGTTGGTAGCTTTGAGCCTTCGAAAAGTAAAGGCAGGTAGCTGTGTCGCTTGGAAGAGCAGTGAATTTTGTCACCTAGGAAGTTAAGATTGTAAATGTTTAACAGTGTATATTTGTACAGTATAAAAATTATTTTACAATTTAATTTGGCAAGTATATAGCTTCTTGTTTCCTTGTGCAAATGCTAATTTCTTAGTAATTTTTTAGGAAGAACCAGAGCGAAAGAGGAAAAAAGCCAAGCAACAAACAAACCCTCCCCAAATCATAAAAACAGCTCGACTTCTTTTTTCCTTTTGCACTAGTAAGCCTAATTTATTTGATAGCAAAGAGTGAATGTTAAAAATGTGGTAGCAGTGATTCTTTCTCGTGCTCCACTAGTGCCTCAGGAAAGACTGAAGGCAGATGTACATTAGTTGAAAGGAGAGATTTCTACTTATTTTGTATATTTTATTGCCTGTTTTTATAGGAACAGAAGAGCTTTCGTGTATACAAATGTGCCTTGAGTTTTGCTCTTGCTGCTGCTTCATTGGTTGGAATCCTTTTTTGTTGCAATGGCAACACAAACAGCAGATTAAAGCCTACGAGGTCTGTTTGGTCCCAGTGAATCCATGTGACGAATAATCAACAGCACTGTGGAATCTTGGTCAAAGATCTAGTTAACACTTACGGGTAATGACACTTGAGTTTCATTGTCTAGAGCTTTTGGAGGTCTACAGAGGTAAAAAGGGCAAGTGATTGTTCTAGTGGTTATTACTGGATTCTTTCCGCTGTGTTGATGAGGAATACGTAATGGGTAAAATAGGATGGGGGAAAACCAAAACTATTTTTAAGAAAGCCTTCCTCTCATCATAACATTTCACAATGGAAGGGGAATTATTTCTCCTAAGAATGCCTTTGGGTCGCTATGAAGCATCACTTATTTTCTGGAGTACGTGTCTGTCTCAGGGAGGCGAAGAGCAACGTTTCACATGCGCCGAGTTTTGCATGGAGATGGTCCAGCACACTCTGCCTGAGAGTGCAGCAGCTTTGTATGTTAACACAAGTTGGGTGTTTGTGAGTGGGCCAGGTTGCTATCTCCATGCATCTGTCTTAAAATGAGCTGCCAGATCTCCCTGGTGGGAATTTAGTGACGCTTTCTCATTAAGTTTTCTGTCCTGATGCATTCACTGCAACAATTGGTGTTAGCTTTGTCATTTTAACCCACTGCCAAAGAGGTGCGTGCGATCTGGCTCAGGGAAACACAGGCGCCTTACCTTGCAAAACATCAGGCAGTGGTTCCGACTGTGATTGCCTTAACTTACAGCCTTAATCTGGGTGTCCAAGCCCAGAACAAAGGTGCCTGACTGGTACCAGCTGTGCTGTAAGTGTGTTGGGAGGCTTTTGGTTGCTGCGTGTGACCGGGCAGCTCATTGTGCTGTGTATTACAGAGCGTTTTCAGATCATGGGGGAGAATCTTTGAGGTGCCTGTGAAGTGAAATCAGCATATGCGCATTGTTTAGCTCTCGTTATTCATTAGGCTGCAACCTTAATAGCTTCAGTGAACCCTGACCATCTCTTGTCAGCAGTATGTGCTCTGCTACAACTGCTCTGACTCTTGCTTGATGTTGTGTGTCTTGGGTGAGAAGGAAGGCTGCTTGAATGAATCCCACTGTCACGAACTGGACATTTTGGTCACTCCCACATCACAGAATCCATGCTCTCTCGGTTAGCTCCCTGTATGTTAATAGGAATATTGTCATCTTTCATACCTCTTGGCTCTTCTTGGCAGGGCTATGCTGACCTGCCTGCTGTTTCCACTTAGCACGTTAAAAAGGCTGCTATTCTGCAAACGGCTGTAGGATCCTATAGCTGTGGAAGCCATTTAGACTGTCTTTATGTAAATAAAATGAAGCTGGCAACAGTGTGAATGACAAATGCTTTTCTGACCATTAAATACAGTTTTGTCAAAAGAATGTTTGTCTGAAACTCTTCTAGATTTCTTTCTCCTTAATCTACATTTCCGGATGTGTTCCGCAAGGTATACCTGCGGTGCTGATGCCAGGGAAGCACGGAGCAGTTCATGCTTCCAGAGCAGGGCACAACATGTAGTGATTGAGGATAAATGACATTCCCAGACCGAGGTGACGTCTGAAAAATAACATGGGAACCCAGTGATTTTGGAGCTGAAACTGTTTTTTGGTTGTGTTTTGGGGGGTTTTTTTTGAGTTACTGAAGTGTGGTGAGATGCTGGAGTTTACTTTTGGGTATGGAAGGGAGAGACAGGAGTATCCAACAGCTGGAGCTGAGCTGTTCATTCACAGCCTGGTGGTGACTAGCAAAACCAAGGATAAGCAGAACCACAGTCCTAAAAATGCAACCTGCTCCTCTAGTCTGCATAAATAAATGATGGCTGAAATGACTGCTGTGTTGTAAATGGAATTTATAATGTTAATGATATAATACAATCTCTTGCCACGATGGATCTGTTCCCAAGTCATATAAAAGGTCTCCTTTCTTGTCTTTTTAAGATGTTTGGAAAGGAGCCCAATGCCTTCCTTAGTGCAAATAAATGTAAGTGAGGCAGTCTTGTACATTGAATAGCGCTGACACGTGAGACCTTCTAGCCATATGTACCTGTCTGCAAGGACTTCATCTACTTTGCCGCCAGCTCTCTGACAAGCAGTGGCAGAAATGAAAATGGGGTTTGGGTGCACGTTTGGAATGATGAAAATGTGGAAAACCTTGTTTTACAGCCTGCCAGGCTGCACTGGTGTGGCTGTCCCATTTTGCCACTGCTGTCACTGTTGTGTTAAACAAGAACTCCCTTTGCTACAAAGAAATCCCATCAGTTTGCGCTCTCTGTTTCATCCTGCGAACACGGCAGGTTTGGGATGGAGCTTTTGGAGCCCAGTATTCTTGCTGGCCAGGGGAGAAGGTAGTTACGTGGTAAAAATGGGTGGTTTTAGGCTTTCCTCCCACGTTTCATCCTGCAGTGAAACTTGTTATGACATCTAGAGAATCAAAATGACAAAGGAGCCTTTAGGACAGTCTGAAGCTCTTCTCTGCATTTCAAATAAGTGTGCGTTTTTTAACCAGTTTGTGTGGTAGTGGCCAAACTCTCCAACTCCCTGCCAAAAGGGCTGAAAAGATGGCAATACAAAGCTCTTCAAACCCCACCTCTGTTCTCTCTGAGCAAGAACGCTCAGCTCTGTCTTTTATTTGCATTTGGGACTTTTCATGAAAGCCAATCACACAAAACTTGGTTCTCTCACTACTCCAGCCTCCGCAAGGCTCCTTACAAGTCACTCTTGTAAATGAGATGCCTGCTTCTTCATCTTTAGAAAAAAACCGTGTAACATACCTGGTAAGTGCCAATGGAATTTTTTCCCCCTTCTTCTGTCTCCAGCTCCCAGGGACTGTAGGCTTGACATTTTGTCTGGCAAATAGGCATAAAGCCAGACTGCTGTGAACTCCTCTGCAGCTGCGACTGTGGACTCAGCCTGGACACAGCAATCTGTCCCACCAGGCAGATTTTTGTTGCTTTGGGGCTTATTTAGATTTGTCAGTACTCTAAATAGTTAAAATCAGAGTAGAATTGGAGGTAAACAATAAAAATCAAAAGCTCTACTTGTACTGTTTGAAGAGTTCACTTTTTTTTTTGTAGACAGAAGTGTAATTTAAAAACTATTTCAAATGAATCAAATGCTGCCTGCGTGCCTGCGACAGGATCCACGTGGAAACCTCTTGAAAGAGTGCAAGTGGCTTTTCTCAGAAAGAGAAGTACATTTTGGTTAACCTTTCCACAAGTAAAGTATCAAGCTCATTGGACAGCTTTTCCCATATAGAGGCATTAACTGATGTACAAATGTTTCTATCACAAAGACGATGAACTTTTATATCTGCAGATACTTGCTGTGATGGTTTCTCTCTGTGTTATTTCAATAATGCTCTATTCTCTCTGTGTAGGCACCTGTGTGCTAACAGGCGTCTGCAGTTAATGGATCTTCAGCACCGAAGCTCTAAATTATTTTCTTAAATATCAAGTTTTGTGTGAGAGGATTTTTTTTTCCTGTCTTGTAGTGGTTTGTGTCCTGTGACTGCCAGTCCTCGAACACCACTGGATAGGTAAAGCCATCCCGACCTCCAGCCCGCAGGGCTGGCTTTGTGTCTGCAGGCAGAGCCGCAAGAAGGGAGCCTGGAACTCCCTCTTTTGGCCCTGCCCTTGCTCACAGCCTGAAGGCCATTCCGTTTCTTCTGTGAGAACAAGTATGTCGTGATTGTCCTTTGCAGTTGCTATGTCTTGGAGGGCGTTGCTTCTGCACAGCTAGGAGAAGCCTGAGAATGGTTATGTGTAGTGTGGAGGGTGGATCTGTGTTTTCTTCCCCAACATTTTTCAGGTGTCCTTTGGCCTAGCTGTAGGAGGGTTAGCACCGCAACTTTGGAAGTTACAGAACTATCCATTGGGCCTTGCTTAGAGAAGGTCCAAGATGGAACATCGTGGGTATTCTGGGTTCAGAGCGAGGTGGTGCCATCTCTCTTGCTCTGAGTTAGGAAGCTAATGATGTTTTATCTTAAAAACAGGAAAACAAAACCCTCAAACCAACCAACACTCAATCAAACAAGAGGAAATTCCCCAAACCTAAAAAGGTCTAGTGCAGTGATCTATCACCTTCAGGAGTCTTCATTCCCAGGCTGTTCTGAGTTTTGTCTTGGGCTTTTGAGGTTATTTTCTATAGGAATTTGGTGCTGCTGCTGCTGCTGCTTGGCACATAAAAACGCAATAGAAGTGTGTGTTTGCTGGGCGCAGAGTTTGTCTGGGATGTGGCTTTATGAAGTAGTAAATTTTCTGTTGCTTAATCTAATATTCTAGAGAAAAACACTAGTGCAGAGAAAGGAGAATGTTGCTTCACCTTCCAGAAGTGCCATTAGAGATCTTGATCTTGTTACAGTCTTTTCAATGCTATTACTTTTAAGACCAGTAACATATGAGGATTTTACACGTATTGAAGTCATAAAGTACAAAGAAAGAGCAAGTGTCAATACCAACAGACAGCAAGCGACCCGTTAACAAAGAGAGGCAATGCGTGTGCCAGCCCCCTCCCTCAGAGACCGAATCTCAGCAGGGTGAGTTTAACCCTTATTTGTTTTATGGTGGATTAACTAAGCCCTGGGACCTGCCTCTGTGATGTTAAGTGCTGCTCAAAATGTGCACCAGGTCCATGTTCCTCTTTGATGTGACGATATTCTTCTCTTTTTTTCAAAGCAGGAGTTCACTGCCCCCCTCTCTGTGGAGAAGTGGCTCCCAGCACAGGTTCGCCCGAGCAGGATGGGCTGCAGGGACAGGACCATTGAGACACAGAGTTGAAAAAACAGATGCTGGTAGAGAAGCTCTTGGAGTCCTGTGGCAAGGACACCAGACAAGGAAATGCCCCTAGAGCTCAAGGTTGGGTGGTGTGGGGCTCCAGGGCTGGCTCAGGGAGCCAAGTGGGCTCGGTAGAGCTGGGGCTGCTCCCTTGTCAAAAAAACTAGCCCAGAACTGCATGAGGTGAAGGTGGGGAGTGTTTGTCATCTTCTAATTCTCCACTTGTTCAGCTTCTGGCTTGGTAAAGCTTTAGACGTAACAAAACTAAAGCTCTTGTGTTCATGACATTCCTGTTGTTCTGATCGAGATACATCATTTCTTATCCCGCCTTCATTTATGTGCTTGACTGCACATGCTTCCTCAGACAGGGGTGTGTTTATGAGCCTTCAATGAGTTGATCTAGTTCTTGTGAGCTCTATACTGAAATTCCAGGCTGTAGCTGGTTAAAAATACTCAAAACAAGCAGCTTTTTCTGCAAAGGTGCATTGTGGCACCTGCCGCTCAGGTGAGCCTGCAACAGGGCTGAACTGCTGAGATCCCTCTGAAGAAGCATCCCTGGGCTTCTCCTGCCCCAGGCTCATTTGGAAATGGCCTTTCCACACAGGATCAGTGGTTAATATATCATCCAGGCTTTGCTCATTGTCTGCAGTTAGTAGTCTAACCTAGGTTCAGCAAAGTAATTAGGAGAAATAATTAACAGCACTCAGTGATGAGGCATCCTCTCTCTCCCTCCCTTCTCCCTCACCATGTGATGCACCTTGGTAGTGACTGAGAAAACACAAGAGGACATTATGAATCAAAAAATAAGTCTTTACCTGTAATTAACTGTACACACAAAAAGGAAACTGTGATGATCAAGCAGCCATTAATAGTTGCTTTACTGGAGGAGTATACATCAGAATCAAATGCTCATGGAAAAATGTCCCTTTAAGTTGTGGTTCATTTATAACATTTAATCCAAAGAAAAATAAGTCTCTACCAAAAAAAATACTTGAACCGTACACTATACGGACGTGTGTGGATAAGACACTGCGCTCCTCACGTATCATGTGCCTAACGGCCCCTGCGTTCTCTGTAAGTGCAAGAAAACAAAACCCAGCAATGAAAATACAAACTGATGCAGCAACTAGAGTCGTAGGCAACAGTATGTGCGTGGCCAGGCCAGGCCAATGGTGGGATGTGGGACTATGCAGCAAGGATGGACCAGAGTCCCCCCTTCCCTCCCTCCCCTTCCCCTGCCTGTTGTGTTATGGGGCTCTGGAGTTGTCACGACAGGCTCGTTCAAAACCAGGACACTAAGAAGAGGAAAAAATTAAAAAAAACCCCCCAGCCTATACCAAAGTAAATAAAGTAATAATAAAAAAAACATCCCTTGGATCACGGCACTATTTCACCAGGGCCCCGGCCCTGTGCGGAGCAGGGAAGGAGCATGGCTGGGCTGCGGGACCACGGCCCCGGCCGTCCCCGCGGAGCTGCTTGGCCACCGGCTCTGCACTGCGGCCACCCCGGCTGCTGCCAGGATGGGTTCATGGGCAGGAGTCAGCCTCCCAATGTTCTGCATACCTCTCTGCTTAGAAAGTGGACCGAAAGACGTTGTGCAAGTCCTAGCGTGAAGGAAGGCGGAGGACACGGTGGGGAGAGCTACCCGTTACCTTAGTCTCCCCAGGTCCCTCGGGTGACGCGCCTGGGCTGGGCTCCCTCCTCCGCGGCTTCAGAGGTCCACCCACCCCCGCAGCTGGAGGGGGAGC